ATTTTTTTTCATGTTTCTTTGTTCAATTATTTCCAATGATCTGCAAGTGTCCTTATATTTATGACCAGTGAGTGTACAAGACACAAAACACTATGATGTGTGCATAATTAATTCAAACTTTAATCATGATGAAAACTTTTTAATTTTTTAATTTTTAATATAACATCAATGACCAAAAAGTTTTGCTAGCAAATAAATTGTCATAAAACATGCTTGTGCTATGAATTAAGTCATCAGTTGTATAAAATTATGATGGATGGTGCGTGCAAACTTTTGATTGCAATTCAATAATTGTGACTTCAAGTATAATTGGTACAGTCCAAAAAGTTTTCGGGTTTCGGGTTTGGGTCCAGGTTTTTTGGTTCGGTCCTAACCAACAGCCCGAACCCGGCCTGAGTCCGACCTGAAAAATTTCGGGTTGAAATTCTTAAACCTGAACCCGACCCAAAATTATCAGGTTAGCCAGACCCGTTTAGGAGCTTTAATTGTGATCCCAGTGGTAGAAAGTTCTTTATTGGATCAGGGTTCCTTTTTAGGAGTCTGCTAGTGCTTATTGAGCCACCATCATTACTATGAGCTGGGCCATTAAAAAGACATCTTGTTCTGGTTTGGAAAAGCTTCATGCAGTTCTGCAAATCCTTCTGTGGGAACCATTGATGAAAAACCAATTGCTTTTATATTCTATCAGTAAATATCAGAATCTGGTTATAATATTCTTAATATTTTTATCATATAGTCTAAAAGCCTATTATATAGCAAATATTGAATGAAATTATCAGATATTCTTTTAAAATTAATCCTATTTTTTAATGAATCATCTAAAGACATCACGTGCTGCGCCACTTTCCGAAAATTTTTATGCCGATCTTGCTTTATAAAGAATCCAACATATAAAAATAAATCCAAAATTGTAAAAGATCTGTGACTTTGTCACGTGAATAATTGGTAAAATTGTGAAAATAATCTGTAAATTGCAGTTTAGATATATAGTTGCCGAAATTTCAAATAAAATAGCAAAGTTACCCAACTTTAAACCATTATAACTTTTTTTTTAATTAAATAACTCAAAAAAAACTTTCTATTACATTATTTTTCATGTCTAGAATATTGCAAAAATAGAGAGTTTTTGGTAAAATAGCCCATATTTAATAAAGTATCAGCACTTAAAGATTGGCAACATTTGATGATGTCTTTAGATGATTGCCACTATATCTAAAATTTATTGTATACATATTCCTTACCCACATGTATAAACCATCGTGGCCAATCTTTTAAATTTAATTTTATTTATTTCTAAATCGCATATGTGCTTTATTAGCAAGCAGGCAACTACTTTAAGTCAAAAAGTGTTAAATATATACATATTTGTATATTTGTATGGTGTTGTAGGTGGTTGTGTATCCGTCCACATTTTTAAATTTTGATTTATATAATTAAAGTAAACACACTAAGAATATTTGTTTTTGAAAAGTATTTTTTTTTTCTTAGTTTTTTATACTTGAGATTTGCCACAGTTGTATAATTTTGATGAAGATCAAAACTTTGATATAACAAAGCGTCAAATTAGCTAATCAGATTTCTGAATTAAAATCAAAAAAAAAAAAATTAATAAAATGCAAAGCTCCGAACCCGACTAAGGTTTCTGGCCGAAACTCTCTTTATTAGTAGCCGAAATTGCCAATACACTTGGGCAAGATTTACTTTTTATAAGCCCAAACTATTTTTTGTTATTAGCCAAAATTGTGCGAAATTACTTTAAAGTTGTTTAAGTTAAAATAAGTTGATTGGTATAATTTTTTAATAAAAAGCCCAAATTGCCCAAACTAGTTTGGGCTTTGAGAAAACAGTTTGGACCAGAAACCTTAAACCCGACCGAAACCCGAAAACTTTTTGGACTGTACCAATTATACTTGAGATCAAAATTATTAAATTGCATTGCACCACCTATCATAATTTTATACAACTGACACAAGATGCAACTCGTGATGCAAGTATCAATTCATGATGCAAACATGATACATGACAATTTATTAGCTAACAAAGCCTTTTTAGCTATGAAGCATTGGTGTTACATTAAAAATTAAAAAATTAAAAAGTTTTCATGCAATAAATAAAGAGTTTTATATGTGGTTAAAGTTTGAATTAATTCACACACACATCATGATTGTGTTTTGTGTAGCGATGGTGGCTGAAATTATTTTAAAATAGTTGACTTATAGAAATTAGGAATTTAGGCTCCTAAACTAGTGACTAGCCTTGTGTCTTGAATTATACCTTGCGTCTCGAATTTCTTGAATTACGTCTTGCGCATCTTGCTAAAATTTAGGCGAATAAATTTTAAATATTATTTATTACTCGGGTGATTAATTGTTTGTTATGTCAAATGATAACATCAAGTGTATTGAATAATCATCATAAGTATTGTGATAGATGTATAGTATATGGAGGTATTCGTGTTCAAGGAAAGAATAAAAAGCCAAGTCATGTTTATTTTTTACATTTTTTATTTACGTAAATAATGTATATATTTAAAAATATTAAAATATGCGATAAAAAAATTTCCAGGGCAATTCCATGGAATCCAAAAAACGTTCACGTTTAAATAGATACGAATAACGTTTGCTATGACATGGTTCTTGCATAATTTCTCACCACCGCTATTACATTGATGATTATTAAAATTTAAACTTGAAATTCTTGGTAATACAAATGTTCACTTTGTCGCAACATGCCTCATATATAATGATTCTAATGAGTATGATGAATGTGAAAAGGCAATGGAATCAGGTCGCACTTGTGGTTGGCTCCAAAGAATAGCTTTGTAGAATTCGTGAATCCTTTCGAGCTATCTCTAAACCAGAGTAAGATATCTTCTTAATGGCTCGACTCAAAACCATAGATATCGGATCATTAAGCACTATTAGATGCCTTTAAAAGAACCTTCTATTACTGGAATCATAATATACTTTCTTTGTCAAGAATTAGTTTGAAAATATCATTTAGTAAATAATGGTCTCATATCAAGAGTTAACAAAAATGGTTTTTATGTAAAAGTCCATTGGTTACCAAACCCAGGAAGGAATAATTCGATCACTTATATTCTTACCGGCAGAAATGAGTTATTAACCGGCTCGTATAGATTTTTTTGCACGGAAGGTATCATCAATTAACTCCTCGATTCAAACTATGGGTCCCAGAACAGATTTATTTTCGAAATGGCATATATTACAATGTTCACGGCCAAATAAATTGCTAAATATCAAATAAATAAATTGAAGATTTCTTGTGTTTCATTAAAATTTCCACAAAATTTTCCATTCATTCCTAATAAATTTTCAGTTTTCTATAAATAAATTTTAAATTTATTAATTTTGTTTTTTAAAATTTTTTGTGAGTATTTTAAACAAAAATGTACTTGAACATTCTAAAAAATAAATGGTTTTATTTAATATGAAATAAATTGACCTTAAATTTGCGAATAAATTGTTTATTTATTTACTATTTCTTTTTTTTAAAAAAAGATACGCGTGCGTACATATACATATTATCCATAAATTACAAGAAAATATTTTCAGACAATCAATTAGGTTGAAATAAATAGAGAAATTAATTATATTAGTAAACATAGAATAATAAATAACAAGGAATAAAACATGGATAATGGAATAATCTATCATTTAGAAAATTCGGAGCAATTTTGGGATAGTTAGTAGATGATTAATATTTCTTAATTCCCGTTCACATTCATATTCACGTTCATTGAAAATTTTGCATCTATTCATTGATTTGTTGATTTATTTTAATTAATTGATCAATAATTAATTGATTTATCAATAATTAATTTATTTATTTAGAATTAGACGACATTCTTGCTCAAGGTGAATATAAGATTCTGGCAAAAAGCTCCATTGATGTATATATTAGTTTTATTGTTAATTTTCAAGGTAAATCATCAAGAAGTTTTGCGCAGAACTTGAAATTTTTTTTTTAAATCTAACTAAACTAACTTAATTGATTAAAAATTTTTTTAGACAAATATCTAGAAAACAAGATGGATTATACACGTTGTTACTATAAATTATTGGATTCACCAATGTATCAAATGTTTCCAGAAATAATATTGGAACGATTAATAAATAAATCATTAAAACATGACAATATATCATCATCATCAAAGGAATTGTTTATCATATTTAACATTTTATTTTTGGCAGGAAAAGAAGACTCTAAAATATTTAAAATGATTATTAACAAAAAATCATTTAATTTTATTGATAAATTAAAAAAAGTTATTTATCATCAAAAAGAAGAAGGTAATTTAGACCCGAAGCTATTATAATTATTGCTATCAGAGATATATAAAGATGTTATATAATCTAATATGTTTTTGCATATTTATTAGGAAGAGAACTACAACTTATTACAATAAAATTATTCTTTGAAATTTGTAGTGTTCAACCTTTGTCACAAACTGAATTAGGTAAATTCCAGAGTTTAACCACATTTATCATTAAAAGTTACAGTATACTTTTAACTAATTTAAAATTTCTTTAAAAAGATATGATCGATGAATATCTCTTAAATCATTTGTTAGATTTAGTGGAGATAACAAGAGACGAAGAAGATGAAACATTCAATTATTCAATCATTCATTTAATTGTATGTTTTTTAGAAAAAATAATGTATAATTATCGACAATGATAAACAATTTTTATATATATCTTTTTTTTTTTTTTTTCATATAGTTATCATTTAATGAACAATTCATGTTGTCAAAAAAATGCAATAATAATATTGTTGAGGAAGAAGAAACCTTGAATCTTAACACAGTTATAAGAGTTTTGAGTAAAAGGATTGGGACAAGTGAAACATTCGGCGAAAATATAATATTTATGTTGAATCGTTCAGGTAATCAATCGATCAATAATTTAGTTAATATTTTTGATAATAATTATTAATTTTTATACAATTGTCTTTAAAATAAAGTTAAACCGCATATTCAGATGCTTATATTAAAATTGTTATATGAGATATTCACAACGCCAGAAACATTTGAATATTTTTACACCAATGATTTAAGAGTATTGATTGATGTGTTTATTAGAGAACTTTATGATTTGCCTGATGAAAGTGAAGCGGTAACTATTATTTATCCTTATTATGATTATTATCATTTCAAAGTTTTTTTTTCTCCCCCACTTACTAATTTCTTTAATTATTATAGGTTCGACACACATATCTTCGAGTTCTTTGTCCACTAATTTCCAACACTCAACTAAATAGAGATTACTACAAACAAAATCAAATATATAAATTATTATTGGATTTGAACGGAACTTCCACAAAAAATTTTAAGCCTGTTTCACCTACAACACAAAGATTGGTTGATAGATGTTTATTTACCGATTATCTAAAAGGAATTTCACCAAACACTAATAATAACAATAATCACAATCATAGTATTAGTATTAATAACAGCAGTAGTGGTAGTATAAATAATATTAGTAGTAACGATATTAAGAATTATAATAAATATTATTACCAAAATCATGATGAAGAAATTAGACTTGTACCAACCCCAAATACTTTAATGATAGGGATGGATAAATCTGATTCAATTGTTGTTGTAAATAACGATAATATTGTTATTAATAATATTAATAGTAATAATAATAATCATGTTAATAATGTTAATAATGTTAATAATGTTGCTAGTCATCAAGAACTTTTATTGACTAATTAGAAATTACAATTTTCAAATTTATATAATCAACGTTTTAAAAAAAACTTAATTTACAAGTATCCTTATTCAACTAATTAATTTTCATAATTTTTTATTACATATAAATCATTAATAATAAAATTACAATTAATTAATTTTGTGTCTTCTTCATAAAATACCTAAAAAACCATATAATCGTAATATATCCCATATTAATGTGGTATTAAAAATCCATATCCGCTCTGGCATCATTATGCCATCCAATTCCTAAATTATTTGGGATTATGGCATCCCAAATGTACAAATTAAATAATATCCTTCCTCCCTATCGTATGATAGATATTCTTTGGCGTATTCGTGTTACAATAAGGTCAAAAACGATAAAAAAAAAAAATTTTTACGCGTTCAATATAATAATAAAACAAAAATTATAATGTCAATTAATATTAACAAAATTTCGACTATAGTCAATACTATCAAACTTTATTACAATTCTGATTTAAATTGTCAAGCTACCATTGGAATTTTGTCAAAATGGTTAGAAACAAGAAACATTATCGTTGCCACTGGTAATTTACATAGTATTTTACAAGCTCATTCGGATGAATTTTTGTTAAGTAAAGCTGTTGGTGCCGATAATATCACAGTTAAATTGAGAACCCGCAACAACAATGACAATAATAATAATAAACCCATTATTGATGGTGGTGGTGGTGGTGGTGGTGGTGGTGGTAATAATTTTATTAATACTATTAGTAATAGTGGTGATATTAGTAGCAGTGCACAACTCGACAGTAGTTCTGAAGATTTAATAAATTTTGATATTAGTGATGATGATGACCAGGAAGAGAATGATCCTATTGTTGTAGGAATAGGTAAACAAGAATTTGGTATGGAAATGAACCAAAATCGGTTAAAAAAAGAATTTCGAAGAAATCAACAGTTACAAAAGCAGAAAAACAATCATCTTAATCATTGTCATCAAAAACAAAAATTTCTAAATGGAATAACATCAAAAATAAATAAAAAAGATATTAGAGCCATATCAATGGCAAGAAGTTATCTGGATAAACATTTGGTTGATTCTACTTTTGAATTAGAGAGGCATTTAAAGAATGCTGACGCACTAAGTCCATCAAGAAATTTCAAAAATTTTCTAAATGAATATGATGAAATTTTCTATGTTCATAAACAGCGAGGTATTAACTGTGTTCAACTCAAAAATCCCTCAAGGAATTTTGTCAATAAAAATATTAAGACAATGATTGATGTTAGAATGGAGCAAACTGAAAATCACATTAGAGATTACATTCAACAAAATGATACATCAGATAATCATGTAGTGAGTACTGAACTGATTATATACCTTAGAGGCATCAAAGGTACAATCACATACGACCTTAAAGATTTTCTTAATAATTGTTCTAATTCATTCGAATGTTATGAGAATGATGGCTCATTTTTTGTAAAAAATAAAGCAAAAGCATCACAACCGATCAATCCAAGTGTATATCATAGTCAATACAGATCAAGCAGTCCTTTTGTCTCCAAGTTAATTCGCGATTTGATTGTGAAAGAGTACATAGTCACCTACTTGGAACTTGAAGAATACATCAAGAAATATTCACAACTACAAAAAACAAATCTTAAAGAATTTTTGTACAGCAATGATAAAGAGTTCAATATAACTATAATTTCTGGTGAAACTTACATCACACTCAAACCCACTGATAGAAACATATTATTTCATATTCGTAGATTTCTTTTGGAATATGGAAAAGTTCAATTGTCATTGGTTGGCAGTTATTTGAGACATATGTATCTTTCACCAATAGGCAAATTAAAAGAACTCCTATCAATATATTCAGACTTTAAATTTGATTATAAATCTGAAATTGTATTTGTCAAATCACAAGAAGCTGAAATCATTAGAGCAATTCGGAAACTTTTTGCCAGCAGTGATAATGTTGACAACAAAAAAGAACTTAAACTTACAGTTATTGCTGACCACCTTCATAAGAAAAGCTTAATACCAAATAGTAGACTGTTGAGTCTTTTAGAAAGCTATACAGAATTTGATTTCTATCAAAGTCCAGTTGACATTGTTGTAGTTCACAAACCAGATAATTTTTTACCTAATCTAAAATTATTCATTCGTAAAATGATAGTATGTAACAATGGACAAGTTGAGTTATCAACATTGTTTAGTATTATTAATTGGAAAGGTGATTATCCAGTTGATAAGTTACATTATTTTATTGTACAAAGCAATGAATTTGCACTATCTAATGTTTTTAATAGAGATAATAGGATCATGACTGTTGTAAATTTTAAATCAGCCAATAGTTCAACTAATGATAACAATAATCGTAACAATAAGGATAGCAATAGTAACAACAACGTTAATATCACTGAGAATGAAATTGATTTTATTAGTTCAACTGGTAAATTGCTTCCACAAATAAAATCTCATGATCAATTAAATAGGCATTACAATAGTTATAACTCAACAACATCATCAACAGTGAAAACTACGCCTAAAATGATACAATTGACACCAACATTAACAACATCATTATCATCATCATCATCATCACAGGTAGCAACAGGAAATACTTTGAACACTAATCAAAATAATCAAAATAATCATAATAGTACCACTAATCTTACCGTTGATGATTGTAATGCTAATAACAACAACTACCACAACATCAACAACATTATTAATAATAAAGATGCTCCACCAAATAGTACAATAAAAGCCAATGGAATTGATCAAACATTGTCATCTCCATGTTTTTCTTCAACAAAACCAAACAATATATCTTTGACAACAACAATGACAAAATCAGTATCACCATCAATTACTGATCTTAACACATCAACAAAACAGCCTAATTCTGAACCTGATTTATCAATACCACCACTATCATCAATAATAACAACAACCTCATCTACTCCTAAGAGTCTAACAAATAATTCTTTAGATTCAACCATTAAAGCTATTGACAATGACATTCATACTAATAGCATTATTGGTACTATTTACACCAATGGCACCAATGGCACCAATGGCACCAATGGTACTACTAATAATAGTACTACTAATAATGGTATTAATGGTATTGACACAAAAAAGATAACCTTCACAACATCATCATCATCACCATCACCATCACCAACATCATCATTAACATCATCATTTTCATCATCATCATCTTTTTCTTCTTTTCCTTCTTCTCCCTCTTCTGAATTAACATCATCTCATGATTTAATTTCACAAATAAGTCTGAATGATGCAAAAGAAATACTTTGTGAACACTTAAAAAATCAAGAAAAACAATTGTTTTCCAGTTTTAAAACTGTTGAATTGTGGAAAAATTATTTTGTGAAATATAAAGGAAAAACTGAAAATGAGATTAAGGTGCGAGATGAGGAGATTAAAAGAAGTCATCAAGAAATTGAGAATCTAAAGAAAATGATTGCCAGATCAAAACAATTTAAAAAATTATAATGTAATTGGTATAATAATAATTTGAAGACTTGACATTTTATTTTATTTTTCATATTATTACCAATAAAAAAAATTGATGTTCTTTTTCCCACAATTTATGATTTTAATATATTGATAAATCATATAATAGTTGACTCTAAAGCAGTAAACATGAATATGAATCTAAGGCAATTAAGCATGACTCATTACAATAAGTAAATTGAGTGATATCTGAGAAAATTACATGTGATAACTTGATAATTTCAAATTTTTGTTACCAGTACATTTCAATTGAATTTATAACAATAAAAGTTATTTATTGTTCATGTGGTACGAGGTACAAGGAAAGGAATTTTATCGTTTGAAAGTCACTGTCTTTTTTGGTAATTTAATAAGGGTTCGTGTAACGTGGTTCAAAAACCGTTCAAACTATGGTACCAGGATTATTGTGCTTTTATTAATTTTTGGGCAAAATTGAGGATAATTCTGGCCAAAATTAACATTATCAGAAAAATCAAAATACATAAAATTTAATTTTTTTAAATTGAACCTTCTTTTAAAGCTTTTTGTAATTTGAAAAGGACCTTTCTACATCAACACCAGATGTAGGCAACCAAATATATTTTAATGAAATTGAACTTAATGTTAGCAATATATTTGTTCTTTGATTCCAATAACTGTCTAAATCATCAAAATTTTCATAGATTTCCCATTCATATATAAGACCATTTGTATAGTCATTGAATTCTTTGATGACAAAATATGCTGAAGAAATGTGATGATTTGAATTTGGTTGAATACAATAAGGGTCAAAGTGCCTGATTGCTTTAAACAAGGGAACTGCTGGATGATTCTCTACATTCTTTTTAAATTTTTTTAATAATAATTTAAATGCTTATCAACATGGATCTTTTTCATGATTTATAGTATGGATGCAAAAACAACAAAATAATTTTCTTCCATCAACATAGTGGCTTTTTTCTCAGATGTTCTGATGCAGTAGGCATCATTTTGTCATTAATATATACATATAAAATATTTTTTTTTGAGAGGAAAATTTTGCTGATCACTTACATAAAAGTAAATTATTATGCTTTATACCAAAAAATGTCAAACCATTCCGCGAAACCAAATTAAACCCATCCCTAAAAATTGGTATAGTGCATGTCATCTAAATACATCAAATGCCAGTGTTGGCAAATCTGTCCAAATACCCCTTGTCCAATTGTCCAATTTGTGTCCAATTTACTGTATTAGGTAATTTGGACTAATAGATACTGCGGCATTTGGACAATTGGACAGGACAAATCCAAATAAAAATTAATTGGACACCTAAAAATGCCAACCCTGTCAAATGCTGTGCCGAGTGCCAAACTTTCAAATCCAAAAATAGCAATGATATTCTTTGGCTTCACAATATTATGGAATATTTGACATCATCATGCCTGCCTACATGCACATACAGTAAATAAATTTATTTGATATATGAGGCATGCTGCAACAAAACCAGACAAAGTGAACATTGGTGTTACCAAAAATTTCAGGGATCAAAATTTAGTAATGTGATTATTAAAATTTTCCTCTTAATATTAGGTGATATATAGAATTATCTCTATATAAAAATAGTTAATATGAAACTCATTTATATCAGATCTACTATAGAGCCCAAGAATTACAGCACCATTAGAAGTATTTTAAAAAAGGAACAAGGTGAAAAAATTGCCCCTTGCATTTTTAAATTAGCAGATACCAAATCTTTGCAAACATATTTAGACAAAGAAAGGATTACCTATGAAATTCATCAAGAGGAAAGAGTTTTCAAAATAGTATTAGAGAATTCTAGTAAAAAAAACTGGCAGAATAACTTGATAAACCAAATAATTACTTTTTTTCAACTTTGTTAATTTTTTAATTACCTTTTATTTTCAATCAAGATCATCTTTAGTCTCTTTAATTTCAATTTGAGCAACTAATTGACCATTTTGCTGTTGTAATTGGGTTAATTGAAATTTTAAATCATTGATTTCTTTTATTAATTCTTGGGGAGTTAACTCTTTTAGTTGCTTATTTTCCTCTTCTAAATGCTTAATTCTATCTAACCAATAACTCTTGTTTTTGTCTTTTATGCCAATCATCAGCCACTTCCAAAGCCTCTAAATGAGTTTCTACTTCTTCAGTTAGTTTATTTTTTCTTCCCTCAAACCATTTATTTGTGTTTCATAAAAAAGTGCCATTCCCCCATTTTGATGAGGAAGTTCTTTTTCATTTTCCTTTTTTTTACAATCACAAGTGTATCTAGAATTTAGTCTTCCCCAACTACATTTAGGCAACTCATCATTTTCAAACTTCTCTTGCAAGCCTTATCACTTTCAACCATTTCACCAGTTGCTTTGCTTCGTGTTCTGATTTGACAAACTGCTTTTTTCAAACCAGGGCAAAAAACACAAGTAGAATTACTGTTATGTCATTCTTCTAACTCTAAGATAGTGTAGAATAGTTCTCTCATGATTACTTAACTGGAACTTCTATTTTAGTAACAAGTGCTTGACTGTGAAACTTCTTTCATTTGATTAATTTCTGTAACTGCTGAACCTTGGCTCTTGTCTTTGTTTTAATTGCTTAAAATGTTTTGCTTAGTTAAAGTATTATTTTCTTCTTTAGATAGAGCAGGCAAGGAATTTTCTTTCCAAACATAGTTGTGTTTTTAGTTCTTCTCTTTCTTCTGCTTCATCCTCAAATCTCTGATCATTCTTTCTTAACATTTCTAATTTTTGGGCTATGGTGCGAATCATCTAAAGACATCACGTGCTGCGCCACTTGCCGAAAATTTTTATACTGATCTTGCTTTATAAAGAATCCAATATATAAAATAAATCCAAATTTGTAAAGATCTGTGACTTTGTCACGTGAATAATTGGTAAATAGATATATAGTTGCCGAAATTTCAAATAAAATAGCAAAGTTACCCAACTTTAAACCATTATAACCCTTTTTTTAATTAAATAACTCTAAAAAAAAATTTCTATTACATTATCTTTCATGTCTAGAATATTGCAAAAATAGAGAGTTTTTGGTAAAATAGCCCATATTTAATAAAGTATCAGCACTTAAAGATTGGCAACATTTGATGATGTCTTTAGATTATTGCCACTATAATCATATTTCTATGTTTATATTCCAAGAACTTATTCAGCTGATGCAAATATTTACTTTGAACTATTAATTATCATTTTGTAATGCTCAGTTGACCCAAATATTTATTTAGTATTAATAAGCATATTTTATTGGACAAAATAGAGTAAAAGTCATGTTATTTGTAATACCCCAAGAAGTATATAAAAAGACTTGGGTTTAGACCAAGTCAGAATCATCATGTTCATAACAATCTTTTAATTATTGATCTAATAATTAATACTTCCTAACACTATTATAATAATAATAATATTATTGCTAATAAAACACATAACATATTTTACCCTAAAATATAATTGTTAATTAACTAATAACCAGTTGAAGGAAAACCTTTGCTACACCTAGCAAGTAACCAACGTTTTAATTATTGAGGCACATCTCAAGGGGACGCCTTCATCAGGAAAATGGGTACAAATATTATGCATATATAATACGCAATTGCAGGGATTAAGCATATAATATATGTACAATTTGCATACATAAAAAAATATGTGATTTGTACGCATATTATATGCTTAATCCCTGCAATTGTGTATTATATACACATAATATTTGTACCCATTTTCCTGATGCTTGGGGATATAATTATCTACATAGAACCTAGGGACCCTTTTATCCAGGAAGATAAAAGTCATTTTTATTTAACTTGACTGTAAGTCAGCAGGTAGGCTGTGTGTTGAGCATTAAATAACCTATTAATTAGGAAACTTGGATTGCATGCTTGCAATATGTTATTTTTATTACTTATTTATTTATCTATTCTATCTACCTCAGATGTGTAAAATGTATGATTATAAAAGTGCAAGTGACTATCTTTATGAATTAAAATGCAAAGAAACCAATAATGACAAAATGATAAAACAAATTGCAATGATTTATTTTTACATGTAAGTTATATTTATTTATTTTAGAAAAAAAAGTTTTTTTCTTTATTAATACTATTTAATTTTTGCTAGCATTGATAAATTTTTAGAAGATCCATTTGATGAAAATGGAAAGAGTAGAGATCTGTCTAAAATGGATCATGCAATAATTATGACAGCACCAATAATTAGAATTTTGTTTAATGACGTTTTAGATGATCTGGAGCTCTGTTGGTAAAAAAACCATCATTGTTGTATATTTATATGATATGTGTCATATAGGGGTGAAACTATATCCACAGCAACTGGAGATAACTGACATAAAACTGATTTGAGAATTGTACATAGAAAGGATGGCACAGAACTCAGTCATACAGAATGTGCCAAATCATCTACTCCAGGAAAAGCTATTCGTGATAGGTCAAAATGTTTGCAAACTTTAAAATGTGTTTTTGACAAATATTTAAAAAAAGATTTATCAGAAAGTGATGTTAAAGACTCAAAAATGATAGTGTTACCAGAATTGGATTTGAAGGCTCTTTTGGCCAAAATCAACTAATTCCGCAATTCTTAATTTTTATTACATATTATTTTATTTTAGTATTATTTTATCCGTAATACGTTTGTAACAATCTTTAATCTTGATTGATCGGTAAAATAATTCTAGTCGAAATTAGGCAATTAATCCATACCATATTTG